ATCAATAAATAAGACAGAATAAATATGTAATATTAAGTGTGAATTGGTGTGCAATCATGTTCAGCCATAGTTCAGCAGTTCAATTAGGACACGGGGGAGTTTAGTAGCCGGACAGCTTGGGCAGGAAGCTGTTCAGCAGCCTGTTGGTGGAGCACTTTATGCTGTAGTTGCGTTTCAGGGAGGGCAGCAGCTGGAAGAGGGTGTTTAGAGGGTGGGAGGAGTCTCTAACAATGTTGAGGGCCCTGTTCCTGCAGTGCTTCAAGAATATCTCCCGTACTGAGGGGAGTTAGGCTCCAATCACCCTCTCTGCAGATCTTACCACCCTCTGCAGGGCTTTTTTGTCCGCCTCACTGCAGCCTGAAAACCATGTGGAGATGCCATAGTTCAACACGCTCTCTACTGCACCTCTGTAAAATGAGGTGAGGATGTTGGTGGTGAGTGAGGCCTGTTTGAGTTTCCTCAGAAAATAGAGTCTCTTTTGGTCTCTTTATGCCAGTGAGCTGGTGTTTTCAGACCAAGAAAGGTCGCTGGTAATCTGGTCTCCCAGGAACTTGATGTTTTCCACCCTCTACTGCCTGGTTGCTGTTGCAGAGAGATGTGTGCTCAGGTCGTGACCTTCTGAAGTCGATTATCATCTCCTTGGTTTTGTCCACATTTAGCACCAAGTTGTTGTCGTTGCACCAGCATTCCAACAGCTCAGCCTCCTCCCTGTACCTGGCTTCATCATTCTTACTGATGAGACCCACAACTGTTGTGTCATCGGCAAACTTCACGATCAGATTGTCTTTGTGCCTGGGCATGCAGCTGTGTGTCAATAGTGTAAACAGCAAAGGACTGAGCACACATCCTTGAGGGGACCCAGTGCTCAGTGTGATGGAGCTGGAGGTGTTTCTCCCAACACGTACTGACTGGGGCCTCTCAGTCAGGAAATCCAAAATCCAGTGACAGATGGTGTGGTTTAGGCCTAGAAGGAGAAGTTTCTCCATCAGTCTCTGAGGGATGATTGTGGAGGATTCAGGCGTAGGTCTTTCTCTGTTCCAGGTGGGTAAGTACTGTGTGCAGGGTGGTGGATATTGCATCCTCGGTGGAGCGGTTGGGGTGGTAGGCGAACTGATATGGATCCAGTAAAGCAGGTAGGTTGGATGTGATGTGATGTGTGGTTTGATTAATCGTTCAAAACATTTCATCACTATTGGGGTCAAAGCGATGGGGCGATAGTCATTTAGTCAGGACACAACTGGTTTCTTTGCAACTGGGGCTATGGTGGAGGTTTTTAAGCATTTCGGGACTGTGGCTTGACAGAGGGAGACGTTAAAGATGTCAGTTAGTACAGCTGCCAATTCCTCAGCACAAGCCTTAAGCACACTCTTCTGGCTAAAGTTGGACCGTACAAAGTGTTCTTCGCAGACATTGCAAGAACAGTTCCAAATAAGGAGTTAGAGAGTGAGGTAAAGTTCATTTTATTTTTCAGATTGAATATAGAGTAACTAAAACCTGGTCAAATTCTGGTACGTCATGTCATCGCAGATAATCAGTGCTTACTTGGAGCTGCTGGTGAGACAACACAATGAGCAATCCAAAGATAAGGCTATTGTTATCAACACCTTTGCCCTTACCGACATATGGAAGGGTAAAGACACACTGCATAAAGTAGGTGTACTCAGTATTTTTTCCTATTAATGAGTTATAACTCATGGACAAATCGAATGAATAAATGTCAGTATATAATCTATAGATTATTTAAAATGGCCCTGTCATTCACTTAGTGGTGTCTTTTTGTTTATTTTAGCTTGATCCAATGATGTACAAATACATAATTGGGATTGTAAATCAAGGCGGTCACTGGATGTTGGTGGTGAGTTAAATATGGTGATGGTTATTCTAAATTGTCTATTTGCATTTAATTTGTAACTCCTAGCCTTTCTATGCCTCAGTGTGTTAACAAATGTTGCTAACATAAAGAGAAAAAGGATAAAAACCACATGAATGTGACCTTGATTAATGAGTGTGACTTAGATTAACATGCAGGTTTTTTCCCTTATTGAAAAATAGGTTATGAAACCATCAGAGAAGACCTGCCTGTTCCTTGACCCTCTTGGGGAAAGTGCAACAAAAATGAAGCGTTGTCAAGTAATGACAAGGTAAATTTACACAAGTTTTTAAAATTATTCTTTATCATTTACATAAACTGAAGTACTTCATATCTATTATTTAGAGCCTTCATAAAACGTAGGGGGCTCAATATCCGGAAATGGCCCTGCACTACTCTCCCTCACCCTCAGCAACAAGACACAACATCATGTGGAGTGTTTGCATTGAAGGTCGGCACATACATTTTTTGTTAAAATACCACTATAATTTTTTCTGAGCATTACCATGAGTTGTACACTTTTAATGTTATTGCATGTCTTTTAGTTTGTCTGACAATTCAGAGACCATGTCCGTCAAACTATACAATTGTACAAAACCTTAGATGGTTTACATTTATACAATAGCACAATGTCTTCAGTTTGCAGAGTGCATTCTCAAGGGGCAGAGCATCTCCTTTTGCACACCAGCCAGAGAGAGTAGGCTCGTTCGAGATGAACTGCGCCTCCCCTGGAAAGTAGACGAGAGCAGGCGGCCGCAGCAGGGGGCGGTGACAAAAGGCTGCGATCAAGTCGGACAGTTTCCAGCAGCCTCGAGAGTATATACAGGAAGTTACAGAAATACTGAAGATAAAAATGGCTGAAGATATCGCTTACGCGTTCATCACAGCGGATGAAACTGAAGCAGAAGAGGTACTTTCCCATGAAGATCAACTTGGACAGAGAAGGTGATTTGTTCTTTCTTAATATTTAAAACAAACCAGAGTTTATGGCCACTGTTACAGTTCATTTAGTCTAGTGCTTTGCATTTTTTTTAATAGTCGGCACATGTTGAGAACCACATTTTGTGAAGTTATCAGCTAATGGGTTTAGAAATCCTCCTACTTTTTAGGCAAATTAAAACACTTAATAAAAATTCAAATAATCTGGCGACTTTATTGTCCAAAGTTGAAAACAAGGTTGTATCTTTATTATATCATGTAAAGGTGCCATTGTGGAGACAGGCCTACATGGTTTGCTTTGGTCAGCAATGATATTTATTTAATAATGTTTAGAATAATATGCATTATGTTTCTATAGATTTGTTCCCACAGTGCCACATTTTGTCGAGGAGGTTGTAGCCTTGTACAGTGTGGCGGACTTCAAAAGTCATTTCAAACTTTCAAGGGCTCAAGTGGAGGTAGGCTTATCTAAAGCATGTCAAGGCCAAAGTATTATGTACTTACTCCCTGAGTTCATACATGATTAAATCAGTTCTCAAAAAACATTGGCACATCATAAACTCTGTTCCAGAATTGTCTCCTCTTTTTAAAGATCCCCCTCTTTTTGTTTTCAAACGGGATCGTAATCTGAGAGATTGTTTGGTGCATGCAAATTTCATGCATGATAGATCTCAGCCTACCGAGTCATTTTTGAGCCCTCTCCCCAGTGGGAATTACCACTGTGGTCATTGTGCACAGTGCAGTAACACTTCTAAAGTTACATATTTTTGTCATCCACACACAGGCAGGCGTTTTCCTATAAAAAGTGTGATCACCTGCGCCTCCACTCATGTTGTCTATTTGTTAAAATGTCCCTGTGGTTTATGTTATGTGGGCAAAACCACTAGAAAACTTAAAGTAACAATCAGTGAACACAAGAGCGCCACTCGCAGACATGACCAGGATTCACCTGTTGCCTTACACTTTAATGAGGCCAAACATGACATCTCTGCACTGCGATTTTATGGTATTGAACAAGTCAAGTTACCATCTCGTGGTGGTGACCATGACCTTATTTTGAAGAGACGTGAGGCTTACTGGATCTGTACTTTACAGACATTATCTCCCAAAGGACTTAATGATGAATTCTCACTGAATGTGATGCTGTGAGGTGTTTTTTGTGATAGAAAGATATTCTCATATTATTAAGGATTTGTGTTTTAATCCACTAATTATTATGTTTCTGTTGTCAGGTATTGAGGGCTTAGACGGATTTTCTGTGCTCCTCTCCAGATTTTTATGTACAGAATTTCTCTATAGCATTTTCTATGATATTTTTCTATAACTAATTTTCTATTGCGTATGGATGTATTCTCTATCATTGTGTATGGATATTTATTTTGTGTCAGCATTATCTCTGATTATTTGTTTTCCTACAGAGAAACATATATTGACCTTCACTATTGAATGCATTTTTCTGTCGTAAAATACAGTCTCTCAGTCTTATTGTATGCTATTGCCATCTAAGAGGGTCTTAAGAAGGTTTTTGTGATTATTGTCTTTAAATTATTATGTATCTTTTGTATTATTCTATCATTTTCCACCATTTTTGTTGTGGGAGGTCCTTGTGGTTGCTAGTTGTGTGCAACTTGACCTGATTGACTTATTGCCCTCTGTTTGCTCAGTCTCTGATTGGCTGCATCTCACAGCAGGGATGTGTGGTCAGGGGAGGCAGGTGAGTCAGAGCCTCACCTGTCATCATGACAAGTATAAAAAATAATAATGATAACATAAAATGAATATTAATATTTGTCCACTGATCTTTATGTATGACTAATTTTGAACATTTTTATAGTCAAAATCGCTGAATTTGCATATTTCCTGTTCAAAAACAGGGGTCAAACGCGAGGTGCGGCAGCAACGAGCCTCACCTCACCTCTGAATGCGCAATTTATCACAAACTGGGCTGACACAGCAATTGGCGCGTGCCTGTTGCCGTATCTCTGCATGTCGCCAATATAATGTTTGCAGATACGTTTATATACCCTGATTTTCCACAGTCTGGCTAATGTCTTTAACCATTTAAGTTTAATGTTTGTAAGTGACATATTTAGTTTTGCTGATGGGACATAAAACCGCAGTGAAAAAACACAGGGTGAGGCAGATAGTACTCTGCCGCACTGAAGGGGGCGTACATGAGCCAAAGGGTGCTTGTTGCTGCTTTCCTTCTACGCAGAGGCGCCAGACGAGTCAAGTGCACTGCTGCGAGCCGTGTATTTTTGTGTTTTGCTCCGTTGGACTGCCAAAATGGAAGAGGATTATATATCTAAGCTTAAAAATTTCTCAAAACTGGACTTTCAGTCAAAAGGGGAAGTGATTAACAACGGAAGACCAACGCCGGAGCTAAAAGGTTTCCTTCAAACTACGGAACAGAAGATAACTCGCTCTTTTCAAACGGAGTGGTACACCCGAAAAGACTGGCTGTGTGGCTGTACTCCGAAAAACCGCCTTTACTGCTTTCCCTGCCTTTTGTTCTCAACTTGTGACAATGTCTGGACTCACACGGGATATTGTGACATGAAAAATTTACCACGAAGCCTCAGCAAACATGAGAGATCGACCACTCACATTCAAAGCCAGATTGCTTTAACAACTTTTGGAAGCTCAAGGATCGATTTGGCTTTGAACGAACAGCGGAGACTCAATATTAGCATCCACAATGCTAAGGTAAAGGAAAACCGAGAGATTTTGAAAGACCTCATTAATGCAACCTGCTTCTTAGCTAAACAGGAGTTGGCATTTCATGGTAACGATGAGAGGGCAAGCTCTTCTAATCGTGGCAACTATGTAGAACTATTACATGCTTTTGCTGAGAAAGATGAAAGGTTAGCTAGACATTTGGAGACATCCACTGTGTTTTCTGGCTTGTCAAATAGAATACAGAACAATCTAATTGAAGCAGTTGGTGATGTGATTAGAAATGATATTAAAAGGGAGATTAATGCTGCCCCATTTGTTGCTGTAGAGGTAGATGAGACAACGGATGTCACAAACAAAGCACAGATCTCGTTATTTTGCACTATGTAGCTAAAAGTGAAGTGAAGGAGGCGTTTTTGGGATTTGATGACGTGAGTGATAGACGAGCCCCTGCTGTAGCTACGTATGTCTTGGGAGTGTTGGAGAAATACAGCTGTGTTGAAAAGCTAGTAGCTCAAACATATGACGGAGCTGCTGTGATGGCATCAGAGCTTAATGGGGTGCAGGCCAAAATTAAAGAAAAGGTGCCCGAGGCCATGTTTACACACTGTTATGCACACAAACTGAACCTTGTGCTGTTGCATTCAGCAAAATGTATGCCTGAGAGTAGAACGTTTTTTAAAACACTTGAGGGACTAGGGTCATTTTTTAGCAAGTCCACGAAGTGCAACCACTTACTGGATGATGTTGTGAAACGGCGCTTAACAAGAGCAGCACCCACAAGATGGAGTTCAGTTTCTCGGCTGCTGCAGACAACAAGCATGTACCAATCTGATCTGCGTGCTGTATTCCGTATCATGATTGAAAATCCTGACAGTTGGGATAATGACACTCAAATGATGGCCGCTGGATATGATCGATGGCTGTCAAAAGCATCAACGTGCTTTTTAATTATGGCATATGAGGGCATTTTCAGTGAAACCGATGCACTTTTTAGCATGCTGCAAAACAAAGACATGGACATTGGATATTGTTGTGCGCGAATCCACGACACCATCGGAGTTGTTGAACGCATGAGACAGGAGTTTAACGCACTGTATGAGCGATTTGAGCAGAAATGCAGCACACTTGGCCTAAATGATAGTGGAAGAAATCAGTCAGTCAGAGATGAGAGAAAACGAATGTTCTATAACATTCTGGACAACATCAGTGTTCAAATGAAAGCTAGGTTTGATCATTTTGGTGAGCTAGCTTTCCTCGGTTTGGTCGACTGTACAAAATTTAATGAGATGTCACAACATTTTGATGACACCAAACTGCAGAGCCTGTCAAAATATGCAAAGTTTTTTGACTTTGTTAGACTAAAGGCTGATCTCATCGGACTGTACAGCTCACAAACGGTGAGGAATGAATGCAAATCTCCTGGACAGCTTCTCAGCTTTTTGGCCCAGAAGGATCTGCTACAGACTGTTCCTGAGGCGACAAAGTTACTCCAACTGTTGCTCACTGTACCAGCTACAACAGCGTCCGTGGAAAACTGTGGTCAAGCCAGCTGTGGTTCGCTTTTGCTTGGTCAAATCAGCCGCAAGTTTTTTTCTAGTGCCCGAATCTACTAACACTTACGGTAATCGTAATGAAACGGCTCTGAAGAGCTGCTGGTAGTGACTGTGGGTCAGACTGCAGAGGACAAGTTCAAGGATATTTTGCCGAACTTTGACATAGAATAAAAAACATATTTTTCATAAGTAGTCCATGATTCATATACCGCTGAACTTAGTACTTCCTAGACTACGTGCATGCATAATATCAAGTACTTTTACTGTGTAGTTTTCGAATAATCCTTTGTCAAAGTCCTTAACAGATCACAAGATTAAGGATATTTCACCCAACTTTGATGTGGAATAAAAAACTTGTTTTCCATAAGTAGTCCATGATTCATGTACTGCTGAAGTAGTAGTTTATCACCTTCATATTGGGCTGGATTTGTGGCAAGAAAGCGATAAGCTGGTGTAGCTGGCAAGCAGGATGAGGGAAAGACAGTGTCGCTAGCAAGACTAGTTGAGAGCAAGCTGGTGCCTGTGGCGTACCAAAGAATTCAAACAACTGTTGTTTCGGGCTTTTGATGTTCAACTTACCTAAGGTTGCTTTGATGTTACAAAAAACACACACATACAAGCATCTCTTAAATTAGAATGATCTATTTCACATACAAAATACTATTTACATTTTTTCACATTTTTAAAACAAATAAATAAATAAAATACAAAACTATAAGTTTGTCTTTTTAAATTAAACAATATGAACACCTTTAATTATATACATCTATTGAGTTATTTAAATTTTAAATCACACAATTTCTTCCAACATGAAACACACTGTCATTCTAAGACTATGTCTGACTAAAATTGGTCTCATAACACAACAGACAAAAATATAATCAAATCTGCTTAATATCTTAAGTCCTATGTGCAGACAAGGCAATTCCAGTTGCTTGCCCTGTGTAGTGTAATATTTACTATAGTGTTCGTACTGTACCTTTAAACTGACCTTTAAAAGATACGAGTTGAAGCAATATAATCTGTGCAACTGACAAATTACACACTGGTTTAATATTTCATGTATTCTTATGACACACACACTCATTGAGCACTTAAGCATTGTGGTGGAGAAGTACCTAGGCATCATTTCTAAAAATAGCATGAGGATGGGCTCAGAAACACTGGTGGAAAATTAGGGGAATTACAGCTTGTCCTGAGAATGACCCTAGTAAGAGGAGGCGGTCTTAGATTGTCTAGGAAAAGCATTACGAGTACAAGTAAAGAGGTGGGGTTTAGGATGAAAGGAGAAAAAGTGCAAACTCAGCAGAAATGTGACACCTTTATGATCAGCGCCCAGTGGAAAAGTTTGGAAAAGAGATGACTCAGCAGAAATTCTACGATAAAAGAGCGAGCNGCTTGGCTCATTTGGGTTGTGATGTGTTTGTTGCCTGCGAGCACATTAAACTCAGTTGTATCTGATTCTACGTGTCTCCAGTGATTTTTTTTGATCTCTGAGTATTTGAGTTTTTGATATCTAATGGAAGATAAAGAAAGTCCGTTTGAGAAGAGAAGAGCGAGGTTGCGAGCTAACTGGCACGGCTCAGGACCTTGACTTTTTTGCTTCAACACCTGGTGTCTCGGAGTTGGTCCTTACTCATCCCCAGGCACTGCACATGGAACCATCTATCACAGCTATCACACTGTATCTGTAAAATGAAACAAGTGATTACAAAATGTAATTGATATTTTTTATCAGAAATAATGGCGTAGATGTACAACAGAGGATAATTTCTCGTTATGGGCGAGGTAATCATTCTTTATGGTAATTTTCTCTTTAGATTTCTATATGGTGTATTATGTCCACTTTATTACATGTAGGAAATAGTCTTTAGCATACTGCCTCAAAGACTGGTGATGTATATCAAAATATATTAAGCCTCTGTCATTGAGTTAGATCTTTCTGTGAGGATCCTTCATTTTAGAACTATCAATATTTTATGAAACAATGTTACGCTTTACAATTTAAGTTAATTATTGCAACTAATTATATAAGGTCTAATTTTAAAAACCAGGCCTTTTTCAAATTAAAAAAACAGTTCTTAGTATTACTTAAGTTTATGGGACAAACTGTCCATTTTATCACTGCCATTGGAAGTCTATGGTCACTATAATGTTTTTACTTTTTGGTACTATTAATTGATAAGTTATGCAGTGCATGTGACCTGCTTATCCTTGCTTCTCATATTTTAAGAGTGAGCCACAGGGTGTTGGTGTGACACAGAGGAGGACAACAACTGAAAACACACACAAGCATCTTTTTCAGTGATCCCTTCTCCATTATGAGAGGTGCTTCAATGCATTTCTTGGATTCAAGGCATGCCATAAAAAGTAAGTACAACCTATTTCAGCTGAGAATAGCAGAATGTCATATGATGGAGTGCTTTGGTATGTTGATAATACTAAAGCCACATATCCTGACTGTTCTGATTGTAAATCTGTAAATATAAGTGTTGGTGTCACTTCCCAAGAACTAGAGGAGCAATTTAGTGCCGTAACTTATACCTTTTACATAATAATGTAATGTCCTTTAGATAATAATGTTAATTTTTCATTGACACTGTCAGAGAGTTATTAATTAAAGTACATGTTATTGAGGTTGTAGTTTGCAGTGTTGCTGGACAGGACTGCATTATATTGACAAGTGTTTCTAATATTTTGTCCCCCCCACTTGAATACATGAGAGGGACAGAAAATTAGGAACACCTTCAATATAATTCATTCCAGTACAACATCACCACCCACTGTGAGCTCGATAATAAACATTAAGTGTAAATCTTTCCTGTTGGACAGTGTTAACAAAAACTGAAAAATGATAAGCTTCCTAAGACTATAAATCATGGCAGAGATGTTGTATTGGACTTTTATTACATTGTACAGGTGTAATAAATTGGCTCATGATTAGTATTTCATATATATAATGTCCACACGTTATACGCATGTGGTGTTGCTGATAGACCCAGTGATGCTACAGTTAATACAATCGATGTCATACCATACCATTTACTTACATTATAATATTATGATAAAACCAAATTATAACTACAATGAGAAACACTCACCCAATCAGTAGTGGGAAGCCCAGATCCTGGGGGCTTTGAAAAGGAGCACATTGCACAGTTGTTCTCCATGTCAAACACTGCCAAGAAAATAATATTTTATTAACACATACTGAATATGTATACATTTTTCAGTTTTCCGGCAGCAGCAGTGCAGTCAAATACCAGAAATACTAGAAATTACAGCTTGTGATCACCGAATGGATCAGACATGGCATCAACAAAAGTTGAATGAGTTTTTAAGGGTGGGTCCATCGTGTGTGATTTGGTGGTTATTATTATGACAGTTACATTGGATCGGCATAAATTATTTGTTATTTGTATTGTGTTCTTTTTGTGTACTTTTGCTTGTACATTAGCGACTGCTCATGTATAGTACAGCAGAGCCCATATGCTAACTGTTGCGGAGTTTTATCTCTGCAATATATTTGATATTTGTTTATATTTGATATTTATTTGTCAAAATAAGAGCTGCTATCTATGTTTCGTTGTTTTTGAAACAATGACAATAAACATCTATTCTATTCTGTTGTATTCTAGATGGCCTCAGTCTCTCCTCCTGCTTCCCACACCCACTTCTCCTGTGCTCAATTCAGAGTTCCCCTGTAGATACCTGCTCTCCAGATCGACTCCTATGCCTGATTGATTTGTGTGTTTGCCTTGGCTCCCCAGCCTTTATTTAAGCCCCTTTGCTGAGATTTCCTGTTTGGCCATTTCTTCGACTTTGGACCACCAATTCTACCTAGGCCCCTACTTTTGTTTGCCTGCCTGTCACTCTGCCTATTCGCCTTTTTTTCTCAATAACATACCTTTAAACTGTTTCTGTTTGCCTGGTTAATTCTGCATCCTTTTCCTCCTCCCTGCTATATATTGTCAGCATTCAGATCAGTCCGTTATTACAGCAGGAAATGAGGAATAATTTATTCTTTAACTGAAAACAAGTTTTATCTCCTTGACGTTTATTCGTCTGGTTTGTGTTGTGTTGAAATATAAATTGATCTGTGGTGGTTATGGGTTCGTCTTAGATATGTATGGGAGCTTTGAATGGGGCAATTTTACATGCTTTAGGCAATTATGATGTATTTGATTGTATAACTTCAATACACATTCATAATTTCCATAACAACTAACTACCTTTACTTAAAGAATAGTGAAAATATAAAGAATAGGGGAAAAAACAAACCTGAACCACTGAGTATTGAAAGTGCAAGTGTCCTCCTCTCACAAGCCATCTCCTTTTTGGATGTCCCAAAGGACATACCTGGTAACGCAGGAAAGGCTTCCATCACTGCCACACAAAATGAAATATGTCATCTGTGATGCACTGTTTTTGCACTGTAAGCCAGTGAAATTTACTGAGAGAAACATTTACTTGATATTTAAATAAAAAATGCCTAAATATTAATACTTTAACCAATACCTGTCATGAGGTAATTAACACAACTTGAAGCAACCAGCACTGTCTTCAGTTACGTTTACAAAAATCTGAAATATATCAAATAAAATCTAACTGTAAATTGATAATTCAGACACTAGTAACTGATGATCTTTAGTATAAATCAATAGTAAAAAGAGTTGTGTGTAACTTTAATTGAAATTCATTTCATATATTTGTTTTAGAATTATATAGTCTGTATGCTTTGACCACTACATCTTTTTTTGAATTGTGGGTGTATATTGTGCAATACTTTGAATCAAGACAATGAAATAAAAAAAACTGACCAGTTAATCCTAGTCAATACAATGACAGTTTGGACATAACCATGGAAGAACTCACAGAAATAGAGCAGTTAAAGTTTAACAATATGTTACCATGGTGACAATGACCGCACAGCTACTGCCATCACGTTGAACTGGATGCTGCATGGTTGATCCTCTCCATTTGACAGTCCCCCAATCCTCCTTGCCATAGCACATCCTCCTCATTTTGAAGTATTCACTGGGTAAAACACATGGAGAAATAGTGTGTCTTATACACATGTATTATACAAATGATCAAATATTGTTGTAAATAAAAACACATCAGCTGATCAGTAAAAAATAACTGGAAGATAAAGTAGGTTACCTTGCCTATTGAGCTACTTAATTTCAAATTCAGTATGTAGATACTGAGGGCGTGACAGTGAGAGATAAGAAACAATACAAAAAAGTAACAGGTTAAATGTTTTGGGTTAGGTTACTTCTGCCCTTACACACTTGTACTTTAATCTCAAACAGAAAAAATTAAATACAGTAGTAAGACCTAGACTCCTCTTTGAAAATGTTTATTCTAGTGTCTATACTGTGCTCTTTGAGGCACATCTACAGTAGATTTTCAAAGATAATTTATATCTAAGTTGATGACTAACCTGACTCTTTTTGCAGCATCTTGAGAGTCTGCTTCCTCTGATGAATTTGCTGCTGGATCCACCAAAAATACTGAGGCTATGGCAGGAAATATGTACTGAAAAAGAATGTGATGTTATTTAAAAAACACATTAAACAGACCTACTTAAAATAACAAGATTTCTGAATCGAAAAATGTATTAACAATCACTAACCAGCAACTTCCAATGGACTCTGCCAATATTAACAAAGGAGAGTACAGCTTGGTAATTGCTGAAGTTGATCTGTAACAGCAATAAAAAGAAGTTAAATAATGAAAGTTTCTTAGGTTTTCTTATCACTATGATAACCTATAATTTGTGTTTCATTTAGTCATTAATTCATAAAAGAAAACATCTAAAACCCAAAGTATTGTAATACAAACTGTACACATCCAAGTCACCCACTTCAAACTCAAGAAATACATACATACGTTACAGTCATAAAAATACACATTACCTTTAACAAGCCATGTTGTCTGACCTGACTTCACTCCCCAAAAAGTATTACACCTGCTGTGTAATGATTGAGAATGTAAATACTGTTTCCCATGTTGAACTGGCTGGCAGAAAGATGGAAGAGGCCCTCGATAACCTAAATCCAAGAATTGAGATATAGACAGAAAAAAAGCACAACAAAGATAAAACACAAATAAAATATATTAAGAAATAACACACTTAACTAAAATGTAAGGCTTTGGAAAAATTAGTTAATCATTTTCCTATAAGTTTTTGATCGTTTTATTAAATTTTGGATTACAATGTTATGTGTGTGATTTGTTTGTACTGTGGATAATAATTTTAACAACAAAATACCTCGCCTCTTAGCCACTGGTGAGGTCTCAGTGATCGTAGCTCACTGGTGGATCACAAGATTATTTCCTCTAATATGGGAGGGGAGCACAGCAACTACAACTTCTGTGTCCTTTGTTTTCCACAGTGATGTCAGCTGCAAACACAAATGAACAACTTGTTAATTCATCAAATTATCCCATCAGTCTTATGTATATCCAGTATACTATATATACACACACACACACACACACACATATGTCTAACAAATACTCTATATAATATTTGACAATGCCCTCAGTTACTGTTAAAAATTAAGAAGGTTTTAACTGTAAATTCATTACAAAGTAATTTGGAATACATTAGACAATATATTTAAAAAAAAATACATACTTTATTTGTATCACTGAAGGTACAGTACAGGCCAAAAGTTTGGACACACCTTCTCATTCAATGCGTTTTCTTTATTTTCATGACTATTTACATTGTAGATTCTCACTGAAGGCATCAAAACTATGAATGAACACATGTGGAGTTATGTACTTAACAAAAAAAGGTGAAATAACTGAAAACATGTTTTATATTCTAGTTTCTTCAAAATAGCCACCCTTTGCTCTGATTACTGCTTTGCACACTCTTGGCATTCTCTCCATGAGCTTCAAGAGGTAGTCACCTGAAATGGTTT